ATCTGCTGGATAGTGATTTTTCCAGTGGATAGCATTATCAAACAACCCGGGCCAGATGAACTGGAGAAGTTCGGAGAGCGTTCAACAAGCTATGGTCACTTTCAGCTGTACCTCAAGTAACTCTTATTAGCTTCTTTCAAACTCTCCTACCAAACCTGCAAGCACATGCATTGTATGTCAATGACACACACTGAGGTATGTATCAATTTTAAAGCTAAACAGGCTGTCAACCTTAATTGTTTACACCCTCAAAAAGACATGCTGGATTTCCGAATTCCAATTACAGCCACTTCTCCCATTATTGGCTGCATAGATAAATCTGAAGTTAAGAGTAAGGGTGAGCTTACAGCCACAAACAAGCAGAAAATCGAGTGGGAACTCTAAAGAAGACATGAAAAGAGACAATGGGACAATTATTATTCCGAACTAAAGGTACTGGAACATGAAAAAACAAGTGAAATATTTTGTAAGTTTCTTTGAGATATTTTCTGCTACAAAAACACCATAATTATAACAACAGCTAAGGAAGGTGCAAGGTTTGGAGATTAAAGGTAATGGGTAGTGGAAAGTTCATGCCTCACTGTCCCACCCGCCCCCAACCTACATGTTGGTTACCATCAGTAATTTCCATCTTTTTTAGTACAGCATGGGTCAAGAGGGAGAAGAAAAATTAATTAATACAATCAATTTCAGTCTCCCATGAAATATTTCCCTCACTTTTTTTGGAAACGGTTGGATGCCAAAAATTAAAACTGAAGACTCAGCAACATATCTTTGTACATGTAAGTATCAGGGCTCAATACTAGCAGTAGCCAACTAGCTATTATAAGACTAGTAGAAATTTTGTTTTGGCTAGTAGGTTTTCGATTTCCACTCGCCACTTTGGCTAGTCAACAAAATGAAAGTGGCTGAACTAGTTTCTGTCTTCCTCAAGGACGACGAACACAAAATCTACACTTTTCTGGAAAACAATATCAGAATTTCATTGTGGACATATCATAGTACCAGGCATGTGCTGTTCAGCACGTATGTCTACTTTTCGCTGTGTGGCATGTAAACGGGGACCTGAACACGTTAATTTTGTTAAGAAATATTTGACAAACAAGACAGCATTTTCTGAAAGCACACATCAATGCTTTTTTTTTGTTACGAAAATTTTTTTATGCTCAAAATAGTACAGAACTGTAAAGGGATAACATTTCATTTAGCGTAACAATATATGGGTGATTTGTTGGTGTATGCATACTTACAAACTTACCACTACAGAAATAATTAGATGAGAAAGATTTATTTCCTTCGACATTTCAATCAGCCGATTGTAACAGTCAAATTTCGCCAACGACAGTTTACAATATTGTTCAGATAGTTGTTTTGCTTTTGAAACGTTTCTACGGCACCTGTCTGTGAAGAAGTCTTGACAGTTTTTACAGTGACATCTTGGGGGTCTCGATATTTTTCCACGGAAGTCTCAGAGAAAAACAGAGACCTGAAAGTCTTTTTGGGAACTGGAACTTTTGTGAAACTAGTTTAAGTACAGTATAATCACCAACATTATGTATTAACGAGAGTCACTTGCATTGTGCTTTTAAGTCTTGCTAGTAATTCTGCTGTTATTGGACCTACCTGGAATTTTCACGACATGTTAATTCGCAAAATTAAAGTGATGCAAATAAGTAAGTGTCGGGAACATAACACATTATGTTACTGTTGACATATAGTCCTGCCATTGCATTTTTGTTACTTTTGACGTTATTGTACCTTTGATAAAGTCAGTTTACTAAATTCAAAGACATGTTTAAGTAACATTGCCAAGGAAACAAATTTTGTCACTTATAAAGTGATTTTTACAAAATCGCAAATTTAAGTGTCGTGAAAAATGCGCACCCCCTAATCGCAAAATAAACTTGTCGCAAAAATTTCATGTAATGAGGTATCCAACCTCAACGCTTGGCTAGTAAAAAAATGTTTTTGGCTAGTAACGTCTAAGTAGTCACTAGCCACTTGGCTAGTGAATTGAAATGTTTGTGTCAAGCCCTCAGTATGCCATTAGGTATGGAAATCTGACACATAATAATTTGACACATAATATAAAGCTAATTATATAAATAACTCATTTCCCAAAGGTGTCAACTTTATACAAAGGTTTAACTGTACTTAGTTGCCAAAAACTGAGAGGATATTGAAAATCACAAAATTGATGAGCTGCATGAATATTCCACTTATGATTCAAGCTGTGATTAAAAGTTTTGGATGATCAACAGACAAGAGAACTGAGGAGAATTTGAATGATGCATTTCACTATTATTTATACAGTATTGTAAGTAAATACTTCAAAGATGAATATGGACATGGCAAAACAATTTCAACAAAGTAGTTGATAAAGAGTAAAAAACGACATTACACAAGATTGGGAGTTCAGCAGTCACTAATATCACCTTGGAGGGGGAAGAAAACAAAAAGAAAATATGATAACACAGGGTATTCATATGTGGTAACCCATCCAAGCAAGAACCACGCCAAACAGGGCTTAACTTTGTTGAGCGGATGAGACGCAGTGCTGTCCTTGTGGTATTATGACTCTGTGTTGGAAAATTTCGTGTTTATTTCTAAGATCTCTCAAAAGGTAACAAAGGAAGAAAAAAATCACTGATATTGCCTGGGAAAATAAAGAACGAAAAAAAAAAAAGAATGAAAATGAGAATCACTGTTTACTGGCGATCCAGTTTCCAAGTAGAGTGGCTCATAGCCACCTTGATTGAGATTCAGAGGGGCTCTAAGGTCTTAGTTTTTGAGATTTGGAGGGGATCTTAAGTCTTAGTTTTTTGAGATTCCGGGAGGGGCTTACATCTGCGGTCTTAGATCTTAGGTATTAGGTTTTGAGACACCAGGACAAAATGTTTGTAACCAACCCCCACCCCCACCCCCCACGCCAGACAAAGTATTCTGTCCTTGCTAGTCGACAAATCATCTACAAGTTACGTGTTGACAGGTCTGTTTGTCAAACTTTGAAACAAGAAGTTTTGTTCTCAGTGTGGATCAGCCCTAACTAAGTTTTTCAGTCTTAGCTTCATGTGTTCTTAAAGTAAACAAGACATAATACGAGGTAGTTCTAACACTTGAGTAAGTTAAGCTTAGGTAAATACCCAGCACCCAGGGTGATCATGACTGTGCAGGGAAAATAACAAAATTCATCTGCAGCGAACAGATCTGTGCTACACGAGCTTAACTTATTTTAATAACTTTTGTTTCATGAGGCTCGTGATCTCTCAGGCCTCTAAACAGCCTCAACATCTAACTTTATTAAGATTCTGGAATTCATGCAATTTGCTGGGTATGCTATTTAACAAGTGTACGTTATAAAATACGAGCCGAGTTAAATAGGTATAAATACTTTAAAGACTTCAAGCACTTCTTACCTCGGAAAGGAACGTTGCAGGCTATTAACCATCACCATTTATGGCCGATTTTTGGAAAGAATGGTCCTAGACTACCAAACATTGATCAACCAAACATGTTACAGTACATCTGCTTCGTAGCATTTGCTGTGCATGAATGAACAGCATTTCCGCAATCTCTCACTCGCCCCACCAGCACCCAC